TATTTTGGATGCGATTAATTGTTTGACAGCACTAATTAATAATAATTAAATTATAATTACTTGTTGTTATTAAATACAAAAATGGTCTCAGGCTTTTGAACCCCACTGTACTTCACATCCCTTTATGTCTAAACACATATACTGACTGACTGTGTGTGTGTAGGCTCCGTGCCGCAGGATCCGCTCCTGACAGTGAGTTTGGAGGAGGGGCGGGACTTCCTGCAGGCGTTTTCAGAGAGCAGCACGTACACAGCCATCAGTCATATAGCAAACACTCTCCTCAGCAGCCTGGACGCCTGAAACAGCACTGACCGAACACCATCAATACATGACAGACACTGAGATGACGCTTCACATTCCTGTTTCATGTGATGCCATTTGTTATGAGAAGATTTATCTGTCAAATCTATTTGAAATCTGGAGAATATCAGATATGTTATTGATAATGCAATGTGTTGTAACTTCAAATAAAAAATACTAAATATTAAAGAAATGGCATCCTTTTTGTCCCACACTAATATGTTTATAAAGAGGGTGTAAACAATGAAAAGCTGATGATGTGTTATTATAGGCTTGCTTCTTAACACAACATGAATAATGCAGTAAATTTTACCCCTTTTTATGTCTTCCATCTTCTTCATCATAAGGAAGCCCTTTGGCCTGTTCCACTATTTCCATGCCACTTTAACAAATAGTCTCTTTTTAGGTCCCAATATATATATATTTTAAAAAAACTTCAAAGGCTTGAACTCTTCTTTTTAATCACATTAGTCAGTAGAGAGTCTTAATCTTAATGTTGTTCGTGAAATCTGCGAACGAACGTTTTCACGAACTAATCAATAATACGGAAAAATGAACTACTGAAAACACACATTTTCATACTCGGGGTACCTTATAAACGTGTTAAGAAGTTTTAAACAAATATTTTATCTTAAGTATATTTCATTGCGAAATTGTTTAGAGGATGTCACATCGCCTGAGAATGTTGCTGCGCGCTCGACACAAGCAGGAAAGGTAATGCGGAAAGCCCTTATATGGACATGATGTGGGCGTGTTCCATGCAAATTACCAACTTAGAACAGAGTCCCTTTAATATTAATATTAGAACAGCGGTTAATATTAATTTAATATTAATATTAGAACAGCGGTTAATATTAATTTAATATTAATATTAGAACAGCGGTTCTCAACAACCAGGACACCTCAGAAAACTTCAAACTTAATTTATTAAAATTAATAAAATTATTTAAAATGGATTTAAAGTGCATGCTGAAAACACAAAAATGAAGATGTAATTTTTTTTACCTCCTTTCCCGCTCTATTACTATTGTTTTATAGAAAAACATACCTGAATAAAACAGGGTTTTTGCGAGTTTTATGAAGTTAAAATTAAGCTTTCTTAAATAATTTTTTAAGACCAGTTATAGAAAATTGAAGGACTAAATTGAAGGGAACACAATATGCTAATATAGTCTCTAAATGTCCAAAGAAAAACACAATAATGAGTTGTATTCACAGCACTTTAAAGTTTGAAATTACAACTTCCGACTGATCACCATTACTTTTTAATTCATTTTATGAAACTAAAATAAAAATAAATGCATAACAATAAAAGCATTACTACAATATGGAAATAACTTTTACTGTTTTCTGAGAATAAAAAAGGGACAAATATCTTCCAATGGACTCAAAAAAAAAAAACTAAATTTAAAGGGAAAACAAGTTCATTTCCCACTGACAGATATTTGCTAATTTCAAGTATAAACTCAATTTTGCTCAGTTTCTCAAAAAACAAGGTATCATTTTGTATCTCATGTAATATTTTTTTATATATTGTATCTTGTAAAGTTTCCAGTTGAGAATTGAGATTAATGCAGTGTTCTTAAAGTAATATTTTCCCAAAGATTATTTTAGATTTGATCAAAATATAATGGTTGCTTGAGTTGTGTATTGTAGATCAGAGGTTTTATGAAACCCTAAAGAGTGCCCACCAATGTGTTTTATAAGTTAACTACAAACAAACCTAAAGTTTGGCTAAACATTTCATTGTTCCTTTAACATTTAAGTGTATTAAGTGTAATTTATGTAGATGATATATGTTTAGTTTGATTAGTGTGTATATATATATATATATATATAATAATAATAATTCATACAATTCATGCCAGATTTCATGCCATGGTTTTATGAATTTAAGACTTTCTGCTCTGATTTAAGACCTTTTAAGGCCTTAATTTGTACAAGGGCAAATGAAAACTTTTTAAAGACGGGCAGAAACCCTGCAAAATAAATTAATTTAAATGGAGTTCATTTTACTCCCGGGTTCTGGTAATAAAATGTTTGAAAACAAGTAGTTTTGTGATAATTCCTTGAGGAAATATCTAAAAGGTTAAAACCACTGCATTGGAATGAGATTAAGAACAAATCTGTGTGGTGCAATAACCAGATTTTTTTGTGTGTAAATGATGTTTATCTAACAGACTGAGAAAATTCAAATTAAAAAAAAAAATTCTAAAAAATGGAAAGCTTTAAGGAGGTTGAAGTAATTTAGCTGTAAATCTATCAGTGCTGTTGGGGAATTATTATCAAGGTTGAGACTGAAGGCAAACACACACAGCTGAACACACTCACTCACCCGAGCCGTCAGATGATGAAGAAGCACAGGGAACACAGACATGTGGAAATTACACTTGTGAGACCCGTCGAGGGGCACACGCACACCTTTAATACAACCAAACATCAGATACACACAGGAAACAACCAGAAATACACACATCGAGCTGAAATACTCCCAGACAACTGTACCTCGGCCAGTGCAGCTCTATTCTTATATATATAGATCTGTATTTATATATATATATTTTCCGTCTCTTAACATGAAGGGAGCGAAAGAGAACGCGTGATTGGCTAACAGATCGATAGGCAGGAGGGGTGTGGAAACAAACAGAGAATGAGATCTATTACAGCATTATTATTATTATAGATTTTTTTTTTCTTCACAGACACAGGACAAAATCACTATATACCGCATTTACAAGAAATCAAAACTATCAAACTGGGACGACTGTACACTTTCAGAGATAAAACCAAACGCAGAGCCTGTTATAATGTGTAGGATTATTTCCCCACCTCTCAATTCATCTCATTTCATTTTAGTTTAAGGTACCTTTATTTTTTTCCCCCCTTCCCACTTTTTTGTTCCACGTGCCCCGTCTTGCGGTCCGGCAGCGCCGCATGCTGACTGCCAGTTTATTTGGTTGAGAGAATCAGGGCTACGATGAGGCCGTGCAAATGAAAACTTTTTAAAGACGGGCAGAAACCCTGCAAAATAAATTAATTTAAATGGAGTTCATTTTACTCCCGGGTTCTGGTAATAAAATGTTTGAAAACAAGTAGTTTTGTGATAATTCCTTGAGGAAATATCTAAAAGGTTAAAACCACTGCATTGGAATGAGATTAAGAACAAATCTGTGTGGTGCAATAACCAGATTTTTTTGTGTGTAAATGATGTTTATCTAACAGACTGAGAAAATTCAAATTAAAAAAAAAAATTCTAAAAAATGGAAAGCTTTAAGGAGGTTGAAGTAATTTAGCTGTAAATCTATCAATGCTGTTGGGGAATTATTATCAAGGTTGAGACTGAAGGCAAACACACACAGCTGAACACACTCACTCACCCGAGCCGTCAGATGATGAAGAAGCACAGGGAACACAGACATGTGGAAATTACACTTGTGAGACCCGTCGAGGGGCACACGCACACAATAAATACAACCAAACATCAGATACACACAGGAAACAACCAGAAATACACACATCGAGCTGAAATACTCCCAGACAACTGTACCTCGGCCAGTGCAGCTCTATTCTTATATATATAGATCTGTATTTATATATATATATATATTTATGTTTATATAAATATCAATTCAAAGGATCTGAGGAGCTTCAAGTACATTTTCATGAACAATATTCTTAATAAATAAAATCAATGGAAAACAAAAAAGGACGTTAACAAAAACTACTCCATTCCACATACAGCTTCGCCAGTGCGTTTTTCCACAAACACTTCTTTGACACCAATGTGGAAATGTATAAAACTCCCAAATCACGTGACAGGAAGAGACAGGAACCAGAGGCGTTCCTGCGTTTCCGTCTCTTAACATGAAGGGAGCGAAAGAGAACGCGTGATTGGCTAACAGATCGATAGGCAGGAGGGGTGTGGAAACAAACAGAGAATGAGATCTATTACAGCATTATTATTATTATATTATTATTATTATTCTTTTTTTCTTCACAGACACAGGACGAAATCACTAATTACCGCATCTACAAGAAATCAAAACTATCAAACTGGGACGACTGTACACTTTCAGAGATAAAACCAAACGCAGAGCCTGTTATAATGTGTAGGATTATTTCCCCACCTCTCAATTCATCTCATTTCATTTTAGTTTAAGGTACCTTTATTTTTTTCCCCCCTTCCCACTTTTTTGTTCCACGTGCCCCGTCTTGCGGTCCGGCAGCGCCGCATGCTGACTGCCAGTTTATTTGGTTGAGAGAATCAGGGCTACGATGAGGCCGTAGAGACCCAGAACTTCAGCGAAGATCAGAATGAGGATCATGCCCACGAAGAGGCGCGGCTGCTGGGCGGTGCCACGGACGCCTGCGTCTCCCACGATGCCGATGGCGAACCCAGCCGCCAGCCCACTCAGACCGTTTAAATTTAATTTAAAATGCATTCATATTAAATCAATTTAAAAGAAATAATTTAAAAGAATTGCATAAATGTGTTTAAAAAACAATACCAATATTTTCTACAATATCATCAAATTTTGGTATTGACATATAATATAATATAAATCTGTTATTTTAGTATCATTAAGAAAGTATAATAGTAATTATTCATATTATAAGTAACACAAATGTTTTTTCTGTTGTTGTTTTTTTGTTTCGTTTTGTCAACTATAATAACCCTGCTCAGAGTCAGTGATGATCTGTTTAACTCACTTGTACAGAGTGATCTTGTCTGAGATGCTGTTGGCGATGAGGACGGCCACCACCAGCCCGTATATAGCGATGATTCCCGCCATGACCACAGGAATGATGGACTTCATGATCAGCTCCGGACGCATCACGGACATGGCAGCGATACCCGTGCCGCTCTTCGCCGTGCCATACGCCGCGCCCAACGCTGCACACAGACACACACAACCCGCTTACTCTTCATGCACGCTTTTCATTATTACTGCAACGGAAATATTAAAGCACCATTATTTGACTTTCCAATAAACGTGCACTAAAACAGGGATTAAACAGTTATAGCTATACTCACAGCCCAGCTCTAAAAGATGCAAAATGCATTAACAATATCATACAGATTTCAATAAAAAAGTGATCTGGTGTACATCGGATGATGCATAAGATTGCATAATTTCTCAACGCTGCCTGACTCTGCAGAAACAGCATGATTCACGTCTCCTGTGATGTTTCTGCAGTGAAACCAAAAGGGCAAAAACATGAGTAAGAGTTTTACACTTCTGAACACAGACTGCCTGTGAAAAACTAAACCCGCCGTTGCTGGGGTGTTTTTAGAGCACTGCTAATGGATTGCTAGGGCATTTCGATCACATTCTGCAAGGCTGCGAGGTTGGTTGCTTACTGCTTCACCTATTTTACTGTCCACAACAATGAAAATAATAAATTTGACAACTTTGATGATTAATAACAGAACCATTTTTAACTAAAGTTTAATAGTGGTTTCCAAAAACTTTATAAGCAATAGTAATAGTGAAGACTGTATTATCAAACAGCAATAACAGGTAAACAACACTAATAATTCAAAAATAATAATACAATAGAATAATTCCATTATTAGTAAGGAAGCTACTCACAATAATATCCATACTGACCACAGAAATGTACCATGGAGGAAATATAATAATTTAAGCACCAGCAGATGGGTGGAACTGATCTCAGGCTCAAACCAGTGTTATTTCAGTCTCACTGAGATACTATTATAGTTTTTTATTAATACTTTGAATTGATTTTTATTTTCATTATTTTCTATTTTCACTTTAATTTTAGATAAGTTTAAGTTTTAGCAATTTTGTTGTGTTTTTTTATTTTTTATTAATTTAATTGTTTATGTCTACATATTAGTTGTTTTATTATTTCTTAATTTTAGTTTAAGCTTTAGTTATTTTTGCACATCAGGTAAAACTAAATGAAAATAAACAAATGTTGCCTTGACAACTAGCTGACAATTTTTATAATATTTATAATAATTTATTTCAGTTCAAGTTTAATTTTATTTCAAATAAGTGTATTTTTATTATTATTATTTTATATTTTTTAATTTACTTGTTCAAACCAGGCAATTAAACCAAGTTAGATGGGCTATTTTTTTTTTTAAGTGAATCCTCAGTATTTTGCATGTGGCTGCAATGATCTTGGGAACCGTTAGAGAGTTAGAGTGTTAATTTTAGGACTAGTGAGTTAGAGTTAGTGTTAATTCTGCTTACGCTTAACTCACTGCTGCACATTACAGCACGTTCATCCAGGAATCTTAGTCTAATCTTAGTTTCTGGGGTTAAAGGGTAACCCTGCTGCATTAACCAGGATTACAACTACTACTGCAGCACAGAATCACCCAAACTAGCCAGTAACAGTGTGTGCGTGCGTGCCTGCTGTGACAGATGGGCTCGTGTGATGAAGAGCAGAATCAATCCTTCAGCGTGCAGATGGCCACTGTCCAAACACACACTCCACACACACACACACACTATTTAAGACCAACTCTATTTAAGACCTGCTCTGAGAACAACACACATGTCAGGTAAAACAATATGATAATGGAGTCTGATTTACTGCTTTCACAGCAGAAGATCGGTTCAAAAACATTTTTAAAAATCTGTTTTCTTGTTTTTGCAATTAAAGTGCATTTTGTATTGATGTTGATGCAGTAATTAATTTCATGCCATGACAGCAGCAGCTATATAGCTATTTTCATGACAATCTCAGTTGTGGTGGTATAAATAAAAATCATAATAAAAAATAATCATAATAACAATTAAAATAAATCAATACATTATATTAATTTAAAATCAATAAATTATATTAAAAATATTACATAATAAAAATACTTCTTGCAACACTATAAAAAATATATTAATTATATAAGCCCATCAGTTTTATATTTGACAGAAAATCTAAACTTCTCCCAGAAGCTTTTTTGTTTTGTTTTGTTAAACACGTTTAATAATAACCCTTCTGAATAAAACCAATGCCTAATATAATTTAAAGCAGGACATTCAAATAAAATATGCTTTATTGTTGATGGGCAAGTCTTGCGTGACCAATTCAGCATTTTGTTAGGTCGTCTATTTTTTAAATGAAATCAATAAGCAGACCTTTCACTTATAACAGGGTCTGATGAAATCTTGGTGAAACCATCTGGCATTCAGATATAGGCTATCTATGATGAATTATTTTGGCCAGTGAAAAGTTCTGGATAATCCTGAAGAACCAGAACTGACCCTCAATAAATATGGACATATTAACTGAAGGAAAGGTCTGGAAATGAAGACTAGATGTACAGATATAGACATTCTGACTGATACCAATTAATCACATGCAAAACTAAAATATAATTTAAATGATCAGAAGTGCCCTGTACAATGACTATTTCAACTTGACATGACGTCTTTTATGCAAATTTGCAACACTTATAGCATGATGCTTAAAACACCCAATGCAATGACCAAAAATGGATAGGATGACTTTAAATACATAACTTTGAAGGTTTAACTGTGCAACTGTCTTAACAGCTAAAAGCACAGCCGATTATATATGAAACATACTAAAAAGTACTACTAAACTGGTCAATTTAGCTAATAAACTAGTCCACTATTGTGACCCATTCCCAATAGCAATAATTACTTCAATTTTTTTCATCTTTTTGCCAATAAATGACATGATGACAGATTATATAAATAAACTGGAATTGATTTATGCATTATTTTAAACAATATTTACTCAAACTCAATGCTAACTTGAAAATAGAAAATATGCCACAAAAAAAAGACCAAATATCATCTGATTAATCAGCTTATGCAATATTTGAGTCGATCACTAACCTATAGATAATTCATCCCGACTAGTCCTGATGAATAGCTACCTGCAACAACTGCATTCTGCTATACTAACCTGCTTGACTAAACATATATTCATTTAGTAGATGCATCCTGAGAGACTTTCAAACGAGCACAGGACTGCACAGACTGAACTGGAACAGGATGCCAAGTCAGATAAAAGACTAACATCTCCAATTAGCTCCAGCTCTTCCAAAGACACAGTGGCATCAGAAATGATCCGCATGCATCGCGCCAGTTAGTCGCAACACTCGTCAAATCACTTATTCCACGAGTAAATATATGAATGACAGAATAACTCACAGGAATGTCTGAGATCAAACACAACCATCTAATTTGCTCACTCCTGGGCCCTCTTTTATCAACAGTGCGTACGCACAGATGTGTGCGTAAGAACAGTTTCACGCAAAGTGTGGGATCTATCAACTTGTACTTATACATAGGAATATGTGTAAATGTAAGCACACCTCTGAGCATGCTTACGCAGAGAATCTAGTGGTAGAATGGCCACACTACAAAAAGAAAGTGCTGCCGCATGTGTCCTGTGTCCTTTAATTGCAAATACTCAATTAATAATTTCATACTGCAAGCTAAACATTTGCACAATTAGTGTGAAAAGCTATAAAGGAGAGTTGGGAAGTCGATTGGAAATGTAGTTATATGGTCATGGCTGATCTCGCTTTGCTGGAAGATTTGGTGAACCATGCGCTGCGCAGAGAACGCGTTTTTCAAAGAGCGAGCTGATCTGTTTAGTGAGAGCACAGAATGGCTTCTTCTCAGTCGGTACCGCTTTCTTTGCCATGACTTCGGTGAGGACGTATGCGTCCATGTGATAATAAAGGGAGGTGTTGTCACCATATATGGTTCATTGGAAGCGTTTCTGAATGCAAATGTCCATGAACATGAACGAGCATGGTGCTTAAGAACATGTGGGATTTATCAACAATGATTACTTACTGGTGTGCGTAAGAACCGCGTGCGCACGTTTGATAAATACAGATTTTTTTGTACTTACACACATTCGCGTTTCTGAATGCAAATGCCCATGAACATGAACGAGCATGGTGCTTAAGAACATGTGGGATTTATCAACAATGATTACTTACTGGTGTGCGTAAGAACCGCGTGCGCACGTTTGATAAATACAGATTTTTTTGTACTTACACACATTCTAAATTTCATTCGTAGGACAAAATATAGAACCTTTTCTACACACTCTTTATAAATGAGGGCCCTGGACATTATAAAGAAATGTTTTGGGTTCATTACAAGTTAAGCTCTATCGACTGCATTCGTGGCATAATGCAGATTACCGCTCAAAACTATTTAAACTCATCTCTCAGTAAAAAAAAAAAGAAATTGAAATGAATCAAGGTTACAGTCAAAAATGAATCATGCACTTTAAGGGCACTAATAACTGTATATCTGGGCTATAAAAAAAAAACAGAACTTCCTTTAAAACAGCCAAACAAAACCTTGTTGTCTAGATGCATATAAAGCATGAAACTGCATTCAAAACCCATTTTACCTTACAATGGGACATATTTGTGGGAACAACAGGACATACAAGGTTGGGCAGAGCTTGATTTAACCACCCAAAATTAATTGGATCGTAAAAGGGGCGTTGCATACTGGAACAGAGCCAGATGGTCAGGGGGAGGGGCTAAAAATAAGAGGCCTTGATGATGTCACCTGAAACAGAAAGTCGTTTGAGAGGCGAAGCGATTTATGAAGACGAACGTTTTTAAAAGAAATAATGTGCACCATAAAGGCCTGTTTGTTCCAAGAATGATATCAGTAACAAAATGTATTTAAAAAAAAAAAAAAAGTCCTACTATAACTATAACTGCACAGAGTAACAATATCTATTTTTGATGAAGCTGATGAACCATAAAAGCATTGGCAACCAATCAAAATCCATCCAACTTTAAAGAGCTGGAGAATTTGAAGCGCCTTTTTCTTAGTATAAATAATTTTATTGGCTGTTGGTGAGGATTCTAAGACAGTTGTTGTTGTAACCATCATTATAGGCTACTTATCATTTTTGGTGCGAACAGGCCTTAATAGCTAGAATACAAATTATGGAAGTAGCCTAATTAAAGTTAATTTTGATTTCAAGTTTAACACTAAACAGAACTGAGAGGTTGACAGCTTTATTCTGCATTTCACATCTAAAGCAGCAGAATCCCTCAAATATATAAATAATAAATCAACTTCAGCTGTTTCTTCTCTGCATTTCGCTTTCATGTTCAGTGACAAACTGAACCTGGACGCACACTAAAGAAACCCTTCATTACTGACTCACAAAGACACGGATGCTGCTGTTTGGTGCCGTTCTCATTAAGAAAGCTGTTCAATCGCAAATACACACGCAAAATGGCCTGGCAAAGCATTTGCTGACCTCACTTAATAGAAAAATACACTCTCTCCAGCCAGAACTGTACGCATTTTAAACAAACACACACCACCAGCTGCTGTATTAGTTTGTTTGCATTACTGATACTGACATTCACGGAGATAACGTTACAGATAACGGAGATAACCAGACCCAACAGGCCTGAAGTGTCGTCTAACAGTCCAGCGGAGAATAAACAGCATGACACCTTGTGCTGGAAACACACACAGATGCATTTGATGTCGTGACGTCCCTCGCGAGTCGCTACTGTAATTTGCACGTACATTTCAGCTCGTCTCAGCATAGCACTATTTCTGCGGCACAGTACAACCTGTTAAAATTAGCGGGAAATTAAGGTGTGATTACTAAAAATGCATCTATTTAAAATCCACCAGAGATCCATTTTTGAGATTTTTCTATCTATTTCAGGACAGGGTTTCATCTTCTGTGACGGATGGTAAAATGCATCCTGCTCATCATCATTTACAATCACATTAAAGCTGTTAATGACTAAAAACTAATCTTAATACAATATGCATTAGAACACCTTTCGATTTGGGGTCACATTAATATAATTGCCTAATGCACAACTACAGGCTCCACCTTAAATTCAATAGTTCAGCCTCTGAAACCAATCAAACCTGAGTGATGATCAATACCTGTGAAATAAAACTGTTTAACCTGTGAAATAAAACTAGTTTAACCTTGTAAATAATCCCTTGACCTGCAAAAAAAGATATAATCTCTAAATCTACCCTAACCAGGGAATCATTGTCTCCCATAACTGGTTAAATCAGAGGTTGGTGGCATTCCCTAATGCTACATTTGCTGACGTGTAATAAATCTATGAAAATATTTCATATTTTAAAATCAATATACGTGCACTGCAATAGTATCAATAATGAATAATCCACCAGAATTACGATCATACAGAAATCATTATGAGAAAGCAGACGTTAACTAATATGAAATGTTGGTAAGCACGTATTTAATAACATTTTTAACAATATTTCATACGACACCAGGAATAACAGAACCAGCACTGACAGGATTGGATTATAATGATGCAGACATCTTTTTTGATGACAAATCTGAAGGTGATGATTAAAAAAAAAAAAAAGGTGTTAAATAAATAAGTGTCACTTATCTATTCTCATAATAACAATAATTAATAACACCGATAATTTGAATGACATTTCCTCAGATATCACGAATAATGTAACCAACGGAGGAAGATTTTTATTACAATGAAGATGAAATAATTATGTGCATAGTAATCAATAAATGTTTAATAGATATGTTAAATAAACTAATTTTGAAAAAAATTTACCGCTGAAGACCATCGCTGCTGATGCGCCCATCACTGCGAAGAACGGTGAGTATTCAGGGCTTCCCGACGACATTATTCCTCTAATTTCACCTCAAAACCCCAATAACACCGAGCTAATGCTGCTGGAGAGGGCAGAACCGTACAAACTGACGGGAACCGGGTTCTGAGGATTAACGGTTTGGTACGGAACAATGGTTTTAAACCCCAAACGAATGATGGAAACTGCTCTTAACGGATCCCGTAGGATGAATCTGCGGTACAAAATGGCCGATAAAGTCACCTGACACACCGCGAGGAAAATCCCATCCGACTCCTGGAGGGGGAGGAGCTCGTGGAAATATAGGGATGCGCGGAGAAACTTTTTCAAATAGACTCCGAGAATGCATGTAAAATAAAAACCATTAAAAATCATTACATAGAAAGCATTTCGGTGCAATGCAGACAGGGATTTAAATGTTTTGTGGGTTTGTGGGTTTGTGGTCTCCCCTATTAAGCGAGATGATAGTACGCTCCGCTGCGGGCTTTCCCTTTAATACTGAAGATGTTCAAATCCATGGAATAGAAATCATGCGTTTATAATCTGGGTGTGAACAATATTACACTCTTAAAATTATTCCATATATTTCATTTTATTTAAATAATTTTATACTTGACAGGGAAAATCCTTGAAATCCTAGCCTCAATGGTAAATATAGTACGGATTTTTCCTCATAAAACAACACGGACGCAATCTAATGTGGAACAGCGTGTTTTAAAATCCCTGTATTAAGTTTTTTTTTTAAAGATCAGAAGGTTTTATGCATTATGTAACTTATAAAAGCATTATTTGCAATCTGTCTGCAAAAACAGTCAGTATGATAACTGCTCATTCAGTAATATGTAATTTCACACATTGTACTTTAATTGCAGCTGTGTTGGCTCTGTAACTTGATGAGAAACCCTTTTAATGGGCGTAGGTGGGTTTCCTATTCACATTGCAGGCGAAACATTTCAAGATATTCAATTATTCAGAAAGATCATTTTGGTCTATTTAGCGGTTTTCGACTTCTATAGCATGACCCTTAGGTATTGCATGCTGTTAATAATAACGCTTCTCTATAATGAAGTGGTATTATGTCACCCACGCAGTGGACTGTGACGCAGCGGATGAGGATTCCCGAGATGAAGGTCATTCTGAGCAGTGACGTCACCCACAGGCCACGCCCACCGCCCTCTGTCAGCAAGAATTGAAATAGTCTCTACTATAGACACACAATATATGAACATGAGCTCATATAGTATGAGGTCCTTATTAGATCTTTTTTTTATGTTAAATGCAACTTTTTTTAAATTAATATACTAAATATATATAACTATATCTGTAATAATAAATTGCATTGTATCATATGTCTGTAATAATAAATTGCATTGTATCATATGTATCCAGCTACCGTAATTATGCCATATTTATTTCAAGTGTATGCATGCCTGGTGAACACATGTTGTTCAGGACACATGATGGAAGATCAATTAGTCTGGTCTCATTTAGCTGTGGGGTGAATCTGCAATATAAGGTCAATGATACACACATATCATGAGACCAGAAGAGAGCTGAGAATGTCATTTCCATTCACAAGGACACTTTTCTCATCTGAATGTCCAATTGTTGGTCATTTCTGAATGCAATTCATTTTATAGCAATATTGCACTCAAAAAAATTTATGTATATCTAATGACAAATTTTAGAGTACAGCTAGAAATTGCATAGTCACTATAGAATTTTCTATGACTTTTCCAGGCACGTAAATCACAGTTTTACAAATTTTGAGACATTTGCAAGTTTTCCAGAACTGTGGGGACTTTGTTGCAAAAAATACAAAAACTAGACACTTTTTAATGACAGCTTGCACAGTTTTTATTCTTCATCACAACTGATCGCTAGCTTGAAAGAAAGAAACATGACGTCTTCTATGAGCAGATACTAGACCACTACATGTTTGACACTATAATTTAGGGTTGTTACCCAAATGTTTTTGCATGTTTAAGACTTGAACTTCACACTCAGGACGGCCTGCTCCACCTGAGACACAAAACACACAAACGCACCACCTGATATGGTAACACATCACAATGCACATTAAACATTCGTCAACAACCAGCTTTGATCACTGAATCTCCAATTCAAAGACATGACAGAAAAGAGCAGAAGATATCCAAACTGATACACAGAAACTGAATTCATAGATGAGTAACTAACATTCGGCAACTTAAAATACGTCCAGCACAACACAATGGAGTCGGTATTATGAAGCCATGGCGTCTTTGAAGCCCCAAACCTCCAGCAGAGCGATCTGGAAGCTCTCAGCGCACAGCGGCGGGTTGTCGAAGGTCAGGCAGTGCTCGGTTCGGCCGTGGTTCAGCTCCGAGTCGATGTACAGAGCGTTACCTTCGCCTCCTCCTTCATAAACAACACCATACATCCATTACAGAGAATCAGCTAGTCTAAATTTGACCGTCTTTCTTTCTATACTACTCCAAAGAAACCGAGGCTAATTGGATTGAACTAGGGTTAAAAAAGATATCTCTCAGTTATTACAACATTCAAAACAAACA